CCTTGTTTCTGAGATGAAAGGGGGATATTCTAAGTGTCCGACTTTGATAGGTCAACAGGGACGGACGACTTAACCATGCCACATGGCGCACATGGGTCACATCTACACAAATAACTCAAAACGGAGCAGTTACAAGGAGCAGGGAGTGGTCCCTCAACAGAGTACTACAGATATTTGGTTATGCTGAGAAAAGGTTTACCCAATGGGCAACGTTGGGAATTGCACAAATGATAATTTTTTTTTTTTTGGTACCAGGATCGAACTCGGGACCTTGCACTTTCAAGGCAGGCAGCAGAACCAGTGAGCTAAATCCCTGGCAGAATGACAATTTTTTTTTTTTTTTTTTGGTACCGGGGATCGAATTCGGGTCCTTGCACTTGTGCAGCAGGCGGCAAAACCACTGAGCTAAATCCCTGGCCCCAGAATGATAATTTTTAAAGCCTCCTATTCCCTCAAAAAAAATGGGCACTTAGTAACTCCAGCTCCTGCGCACCCCCTCTATTGCCCTAACCTGAGTGCCCCTGTCCTAGGCACCCACTGACAGAACCCCAGCCCCCCAGCAGTGCCTGCTTCCACCTCTGCTGGTTTCAGGAACCCTGGGTACCTCCCCTCCACCAACAGGCAGAAACAGGGTCCCTGGGCAGATGGGGACCCTTCCTCCCTGCTCCCTCCTCCCCTGCTCCCTAGCTGGCTCCAGAGAGGGAGATCCGCCCAAGCCAGAAGTCCACTGAGTCCCCCTTCCCAGCCTCCTGGAACAGATATTTATTGAGCGCCTACTTGGTCCCCAGCACTGGGGACAAGGCTGTGAACCAGGCAGCCACAGCCTCTGGCCTCACATTAAGCAATTAAAACAATAAATACAAATTGTGGGAGAGGCTGGATGGAGGCAACCAGGTCTGTGCAGAGAGCCCTGGTGCACCCAGGGAACACTGGTAAGTGACAGCGACCCACGTGTCGGGTGTGAGGGAGGAGAAGGAATAGATGTGGGGGACATGGGTATCTGCCCCTCCCTCCATCGCCCCCCTTGCCTGCTTTGCTCCCCACCCAGCACACCAGGCAAGCCCAGGGCCAGAGCCATCAGAGGACAGCAGAGAGAGCAATTCCTGACCCAGGGTGTTAATGGAAATCAATGCCCACTCACCAGGGTGATCTACACCTACAATTCACTCCCCCATCAGATCAGATGAGGCACTGGAGCCTGAGGAGGGTTCTCAGGGTATGGGTGTCCTCTGCCAGGGATTTCTCTGGGCCTGCTGCAGCCATGTCCCTACAGGCACTTTCCTGTCCTGTCATTCAGGCCTGCACTGCTCTAGATCCTTCTATGGCTCCCACTGCCCTTGGAGACAATTTACCGGCCCTGGTACAAGGCCCTGCCTGAGCCTTGCTGACCCCTAGCCATGGCCAGGCCATTATCAGGGCCAAAGCTGCACTAGAGGCTAACAACTGCCCATTGTCCTCTTCCTGGAATAGAAATGTCCACACCAGGTGGCTCTGAGTGAGAAGCCTCCTCGGCTACCATAGCCAGCAAGAACTCCTTTGAGCTCCATGGGTGCTGAGCCTGGAATGGGTAGAAACTCAATAAGGGCTCAAGGGGAGGAAACAAATCCACTGGGCCACTCCCAGTCTGGCCTCTGCCCTTGCTGGGTCCCAGCCAGTGCTGCCCACATTCACCTACTTCCTGCACCCCCGACTTCTCTCCTGCATGCCCCGTGCACCCTCTGGGAGATCCAGCGGCCAACAGAGGGGCCAGGGTCAGCCCTTGGGCAGAGCTGCCAGGATCCGGCTCTTCCCCCTCCCAAGCCACACCCAGGCAGGGCAGGACAGGGACAGAGCCAGGATGGAGACTAAGGTTGCCATGGAGAGAGGAGGGTGACAGAGCAGGGTCAGAGGGAGGATGAGGACAAACAGAGGTGGGGTGGCAGTGTCACATACCTGGGGGAGCAGCTTCAGGGCTTGGGAGGTTCCTTCCAACCCAACACTCGAGGATCCTGGGCATCAAACAGTCCCACATGTGCACCTTCCCTGGGTTCAATTAATGGAACATTTTGACCCCATTTTCTGCTGAGAGGTGGAGACTTTCCTATGGTCCTCAGTGTTGAGGGGTGGGGCTGGTGCTCTCCTGGGGCTGCGGGGCACTGGCCCTGTGATCTCAGCATCCCCAGGCTTCACAGCGTCATGGTGGGGGAAGGGGAGGTGGAAGCAGTGCTGCAGTGGACCCCTCTGACCTAGAAACCCAAGGGTCTGGGAGCCTCTGAGTCCCAGATTCCCATAGTCAGTTCCCAGAGGATGGAGAAAGACCCAGCCAGCTCAGCCTCCAGGACCCTCTGCCCACTCTGCAGATGGGGGTTTCCGTGTTGCTGGAGCTCTGAGAAGCAGCCACCCACCAAACTGGCCCAGGAGGCCAGGGTCAGGCCAGACAGGAGCTGGGGCCTTGGCACCCCAGAAGCCATGGGCAGGATGCTCCGGCCCATCCCACAGACTCAGCAACTAAGGAAGAGATGGCCTGGGCTTAGCTCTGCACCCAGGGCAGAGTCCCAGCTCCTTGCAGCAAGCCTGAAGCAGCACGGCCTTTCTGCCTCCATAGCTTGGATCACCCCACCACCACCTCCAGCCAGGTCTCAGAGGCCCCAGTCTGTCATTCAGGGGATCCCCAATGTCGAGACCCCAGGAGAGATAGGAAAGCACCCATCCTGAGCATCCCACCTCCAGCTGCCCGTCTGTTCGGGAAGAGAAGCCTGGGCAGCCAGCAACGAGAGACCCCGCCTGGCCTCCCCAACCTGAGGTCCCTCGCCCTATCCCTAGAGTGGGCAGGGAGACAGGCTGGTCTCTGGTCCCTGGGGCAGGCAGTGAGAAGAGACTAAGTGAGAGGGGATGGAGTTTGATACCAGTGCCCAGGGTTCAAATCCCACCACAACCCTTCAGATTTGGGCGATGTGGGGGTCCATCTTTAGCTTTCTGTCAACGGAGGCCACAGCATCCCTCAGGAACCTTCCTGTCAAAGGGGGGACATGTGTGACAGGCAGACACGGGGGCCCCAGGGGCTGGAAATTCTGCTGCCCCAGTCCCGCCAACCTGACATCTCAGCCTCCTCTCCCAACACCCTAAATCCACAGACTGGGATGGGGAGAGGGCATAGTAGTCGAAAATAAGGCGGAATTTGCATCTCATTAGAATGAAGTTTGTCATCTCTATCATAAATTGTCCTTCTCAGCTGCAGAAAAAGGTCCATTAACACCTTTTTTTTCCTTCTCCAAATGAGGCAAGAGTGGGTAGGTTTGAAAATCCCTGTGGACAGTGAAAAAGCCCCCCTACACCCCCAGCAGCCAAAAAATCATTGTAATTATCTGTCTGGGAGCGGACGCGGGAGAGCGCCTGGGCACGTTCGGTTCGTCAAGGCGTTAATTAGCAGGAACCAGCGCAGCGCTAGGGACCTGGGGCTGGGGGGCTGGGGGCTGGGGAGTGGGCTCCCCTCCTGTGACCCTCAACCTTCCGCCCACTCACCGGAGCCAAGGCCAGTGTCCCCCTGGCTCAGGAAAAGTGGAAAGGGTGGGTAACGAGAAGACAGGCTGAGGACCACCCCAGGGAGGCTCAGAGCCCCTCTCCACCCCAGAAGTGGGAGGCTAAACTACCAGTCACTCAAGACCACTGGCCGGAGATTCTATCATCAGGAGGCTTGGCCCAGACAGACAAATGGAGCCCCAGGCGGTGGGGGCAGGGACTACTCCGAGCTTGGAGAGCTTTTAACTCTAATTTTAAAACAGCGTGAGCAACATTTAATGAATACCTACCTACTCTGGGCTGGGCTGGACTGAACTGACTTAACCTTGACACAGCAGCCCCATGAGGCAGGAACAATCCCCCCCCGCCCCCCCCAGCCCCACTCCTGTACCTGTACTGCTTGGGAAGCCCACCCAGCCCAGCCCTTGGCCCTGCAGTACCTGCCCCTGCCCCAGGTCCCTCCACACACAGGAAGGCTCTAATGGTTCCCACCCTCGGCACAGCAACTCTGCCCCAGAGTCGCGGTGTAGAGGTGCTGGCCTGGGGTCACATCCATGAGAGAGGGGGTCTAGGAACATGAGGTCCCCCCACCCGGCCTTCAAGCCCGCTAGGCCCTACCCACACACAGCGGCTCCTCCCAGGCCCTGTATGATCTCAGCCTGGAGTGCTTCCCAAGGGGCAGCCCCACCCCATCCTGCCTCCTCTGGGTGTCCAGGCCCCTCCCTAAGCCCTGGAGCCTTCCCAAGCAATGTCTTCCTCACCTCCTCCCCAGCCCCAAGTGGCACTGAGTTGGGAGTCTACGAAGCAGCAGTTGCTCCTGGTCCTGCCCAGGGACACCAGGGTCCCACTGAAGTCACACAGCAAGTCAGGACCACGCTGGGACAGGGACCAGGTCTCCACAGCCTGGGTGGGTCCAGGGTGAGCCACATTTGGCTGGTGGCTGAAGACCAGTCCCTTGCTCTCTCTGAAATGTGGCAACTCAGGGAAATCTGGCTCCAATGGCTCTGGTAGTTTGGGGACAGGGTCCTGTATCCCGAGGATCTCGTCCTTCACACCAGCCTCACCGCTCCTTGTGATACAGCCTTATACCCTAGAGCGAGGCTCTCTTACACTCCTCCCTGGGTCTGTGTCCCCCTGGGCCCATACTAACATTGGGGGGTAAGTGCCCATTAGTTTCCTGACTTGGAAAACATCTCCCTGCCAGCCCCATGGCTGGCCCCAAGCCATGAGCCAGAGCGGGAGAGTCTCCCCTGGATGGCAGCACACACCCCACAGTCCCTCAGATGCCAGTTCCAGGCTATAGCCCCTCATCCACACCCGCCATACCCTCATTAGGGCAGCCGGCTGTCCCTGAGCCCCAGGCCTGGTGAGTTACAGCCCATCCATCCCTCCCAATGTCCTCTCCCGCCTCCATGGGCCCATATGACAGCGCACACATCTGTCAGCCTGTGGCCGCCACTGCCATCGCCACCACTGTTTCCTGGGAGACAGACTCTGTTTATGACATTATCAAAAAGTCCAGCCCCTCCCTACACCTCCCTGCCTCTCTTTATGGGGACCAAGATTTGGGCTGTAAATACCACTGCCTGTCTTCCCTGAAGACTTCAATGGGCCCTGAACATGTTGTTAGCGCGAAGGACACACAAGGCTTCCCTTTGACTGCCCTGGCCAGCATCCCCGCCACACCCAGGCCCACAGGAAGGTCACCCGCCCACCCTCTGCCGTGCCTTCCCTCCGCCGCCAAGCCCCAGGACAACTGCTCTCAGCAAGGTGGTATGGGGGGGGTCGCTCAAGGGCTTTGGGCCTTAGTAGGAGGAAGAAAGAGGCCGATAGCTGTGCCCCAGCCTGGGGGTCCCACAAGACAGGCCCTTCATGAGGCAGGTCCCACAGCTGCACAGGAAATCCCACCTCTGCCAGGATAGGGAAAGCGCAGCTGGTCTGCATTTGACCCGATCCCCTCCCACCCCAGCTGGAGCAAGGACCTCAGGGGAGATCCTTTCTGTGCCTAAACACTGTTAAGCCTCAGGTGACCCCAAGGTCAACCCTGTGATGTCATTATCTTCCAGACACCCACAGCTGGCCAGCTCGCAGGGGAAGAGCAAGGTTCAAAGCCAGGCAGGGTGGTCTGCCTTCCCCAGGGACTTGGCCCTGCAAAGGTCCTGGGGCTGAGCTAATGGAGGGGGGCAGCACTCACCCAGGCCCCACCCAGCCTCTGTGAGCACCAAGGTGGGTGCCGGCCACTGGAAGTGCCGTTATAGTCATCATGATTGGGGTCATCATCACTACAGGTCTCTGACTTCACCCCACAGGACAGGCGCATGCTCCCAGGGATGCCGAGGCCCTTCACCCTCTCCTCCAGGCCAGTCTCACTGTGCAAGTGCCCCACGGCAACTGCAGTGAAGCACCCATGAACCAGGTGGCTCTAAAACAGCAGAAGGCCCCCTCAAAATTCCAGAAGCCAGAGTCTGACATGCGTTCCTGGGCCCAGGCGCAGAGGACTGTCCTCTTCCAGGGTTCCTCCTTTCCAGCCTCTGGTGGCTGCGGTGTCCTGGGCTCCTCCATCCTCTGCTCCTGTCCCACACACTCTGTGGAGACATCTCCCTGCCTCTCGGCTCGGATGCTGCTTGGAAACCCACTCAGGGTCCCCACAGCCGCCATCCTCTCCTCATCTCCGACCCCTTAGCCTGGTCACAGCCTCCTTGGCTTCCTGCTTCTGCCCTACTGTGGCATCCTCTACACAGCAGGGAGAAGGACCCAAACCCACACCAGGGCTCGTCATTCCTGTCACGCCCTGCGTTGACTCTTGTCTCAGACCAGACACCAGAGTCCTTACACTGGTCTGCACATCTGCCCAGGTTTACTCCCCATAGCCACAGGGCCTCCCGTCTCTAACCCTACACATGCTAGCTTTCCTGTGTGCAGGGCCAAGTTCCCTCTGTCCCCAGTGCCCTTCTTGGAACCCACGAGGCCCTCACCTCTTCTCTCTTCACCTAGAGTCACTTTCCCAAGACCATCCAACCCTGTACTCCCTTCCTGAGGTCATCAGGAACTTTGTATGGATTTTGCTCTTTTGTCTTGTTCGCTGTCTGGCTCCCCTCCATGGTGACAGCCACCAGACCCTGGGCAATGCCCGGCTACAGGGCTTACTGACCATGCACCACAGGTGATGACGGGGTGCAGGCACCAGTTGTCTGAGGGCCCAGTGTTGAGCCACATGGCACCCAGCAAGTGCTGTCCCCATGCTAAGCCCAGTAGCAGGGAAGGCCAACATGTAGGATCTTCACAGGGGCTGGGGACGGGCACACCCGGGAGGGTTGTACAGGATGAGCAGGAGCTCACTTGCCTGCTTCACACCTGCCGATAGCGCAGATACAAACATCAGGGGTAAAACACTCTGCTGGGCTCCTAGGATCCAGAGGGCATAAGAAGTGGGGCTTCAGGTTGGACAGGGGGCCTAGGGGTGGGACTCTTCCTGTGGGCAACGGGGTCCAGAGCAGGCCTGCAGCCTGATGGAGGGAGGCTGGGGAACAGGACCTACCCCGCCACATACCAGAGTCATGGCTGGCAATGCCCCTGAGCTGTGCCGGCATTGTGGCCCACATATCCCGGGCCTGTGCTGGAAGGGGCCTCTGGGAAGTAAACACACAGTCTTCACTGAAGCCCTAGGCTACAATGCCAACACAGCCAGGGCATCGGGTGTAAGGTGACCCTACAGGCAAAAAGTGTCCCCACATTCATGCTGGTGCTCCAGCCCATGATGAAGCAATTCAGGCTACGTCAGGTCATAAGGGTGCAACCCCAACCTGATGGATTAGTGTCCCTGTAAGCAGACACCAACCAGATCTATCTCTCTCTATCTCCTTTTCCCCCAACCTGCAGCCAGGAAGAGGCCCCCACCAGACCAAACCACACAGCCACCCTGGACCCCAGCTCCCAGAAGCACGGGGAAACAAACATCCGTTGCCTAAACCCCAGGCTGACATCTTGTCACAGTAGCCAGAGTGGACTCAGGTCCACAGCGGAGTCGAGGAAGGCTTCCTGCAGAGCCAATGTGGCCATCCTTGGGGGAGCCAGGCCGGGCCAACCCCTCTCCCACCACACAGCAGCCTGGCTGCAAATGCGGGAAGCTTCTTGGGGACTTCATGGCTCCACTGCAGGCACAGAGGCCAGCCTGGATGAGAGACCAGGCACCCTCCGCAGTCCAGCCAGGGCCCTGGAGCAGGGCAAAGAGGCAGAAAGATCACGGGTACTGAGCCCCAGATTTCCGCTGCCCCTGCTGCCCTGGCAGAGGAAACAGAGAACAAGGCCCCCACCCACCCAGCTCCCACCCTGGGGGGCAGCTTGGAAGTGGGGATCTCGGCCAGGCTCTGAATGACAGAAACCATCAGGACATGGAAAAACAAGACCTATAAAGAAATACACATTTTATACATCAGTTTAATTAAAGTACATTAAAATGAGTTTGCTTAAATAAAAAAAAAAATTAGATGTGTCCTGTGGATTTCAGAAGCAGGGTAGGAGTCCCTGAATCCAGAAGCCTGGACGAGGTGGGCGCTGCCCAACTCACACACCTGGTGTCCTCAGGAAGAGGTGGTGCTCATCAATGTCACCTTCTGTACGCCACCATGCATATTCCTGGGGAGACGGCAGGCAAATTGGTCCATTTTGAAGGGTGGAAACAAAGCCCAGAGGGGTTTGGCCCCAAGGCCACACAGCATGTCTGTGGCAGTCCCGGTGGGAAGCTACTAGCCCTTTCTGCTAGCCCCAAGCATTTCATTGACCAAAATGGCTCAGGGCACCCACAGCCCCTCCCTCCAGGACCCTGGCCTGAGCCCCTTCCCCTGGGCACCTCCTATCTGCAGAGTGGGGACCTCACTGTGTGACAATCTGGCTCCACTGAGGCCTGGCACCGTGAAGGGGAGGGAAGTGGCCTAGGGTCTGGGGACAGGAGCCAGAAAGAGAAAAGACCCAAAATCAACAAGCGTTTCAGAATTCTAAGCAGTTTTTGAAGAAAACGAGAAACAGGTTCAGCTGTTGCAATTTGCTCCAGGGGAAAATTATGTTCCCGTGCTCTATTATACAGAACAGAAGGAACATTTGGTGGGTTGAATACTTGTTAATTTATTTCTGTTTGTTAATGGGCCTGCCACATGCGCATGCTCAAGCACACACCACACACACGCGCACGCGTACACATGCACATACACGCACACACGCACACAAGCACCCAGCATCAGCAGGAGGCGCCCCAGTCCCCATGTCTTCCTCCCACCTCGCCACTGAGTTCCACTTGGGTTCTTGTCTCTGCTTTTAATACCAGGGATCTAGAAGGCCATAGGCAGGTTAAGGACTGAGATAAGTCCCTCAGTTTCCCCATCTCAACAATGAGCTGAAAATCCAGGCCTGGTGGTGCATTCCTGTAATGCCAGCACTCAGGAGGCTGAGGCACGAGGGTTGCTGCAAGTTCAAGGCTAGCCTGAACTGTATAGCAAGACCCCAAGGAAAAAACAGAGGGGCTGAAAAGGAAGATGAACCAACACCTCAGGGCAAAGCCTTTGGCCTTGGGGAACGGTGACCGGCCGCAGGGAGTCCCTTTGGAGCAGCTGCAGACACACAGTGGGTCTGCAGTTCCAACTCTGAGACAGGGTCCGCTCATACGGTCCAGCGCACGATTCCCTGCCTTGCCTGCCCCCAGGTCTCTACCCAGGAGCCAAGATGCTGCCATACCCCACCCTCCCTGGGCCAAACGACCTCACTGGGCCCAAACGCTCAGCCTCCCACTCCACAGCCACCTCCAACATCTGGCCCACTCCTCCAAGGCTGCTCTGGCCATGATCCACGGCTCCCCTCTCCTGGGACCTGCACCTGTGTCTCTGCCACCGCCTCAATCCAATCTGGCCACGCAGAGGCCAGAGCAGCATCTGAAAGACACAGAGCAGACCCTCCCCTCTCAGCACCCTAGATGTCCCCTGTGCCTCTCTAAGCTTTACTTTCCCCCTCTGTGCAACAGGGACAATTCCAGGCCCCCCTTTCTAGAGCAAATGAGGACACTGAGGGAGAGGATGGAACAGCCCCGACCCCAGTAGAGGAAGGCACTGGGGATGGAGAGGTGGTGGGCCACACAGTCGAAGGGTAAAGAAGCTGGACCTTAGCTCTCCCTTGACTTCGCCTCGCTCAGGGAGACTGAGGGTGACCCAGAGCCACACAGTACCACATCTGAGGCCCTGGGTGCTCGAGAAGGGCCCTGTGCCCAGGCCATCTCTACCTTAGTCAGCCGGGCCTGTGTGACTTGGAAGCCAGTGTCCATCCTCCAGGTAGACACCCCAGCAGAAGGAGGAAGCAGGATGAAGGGTCCTGTCTGATCCTTAGCAGCAGGAACAGATTCTACCTCTTGGGTCTCCCCGGTTCTGCCCAAAGACACGTTCTGAAGCCCAGAGAAGATGCTGCTGCCATGCCTGGGGCTTAGGCACTGGGAAGGAGGCAGATGCCCAAGCCCCGACAGGTAAACTGAGGCATGCTGAGAGCCTCCCTTGGATGGTCCAAGCCAGGGAGATGGACAAGAGAGGAAGAGGGGCCCACGGGGCAGATCAAGGGGACCTGGCATCTCACAGGCCCAGCCCCTGCCCGGCCAAAGGCACAGAGCAGGATGAAGGGGGCTCTGTGGGCTCCAAGGTCATACTCGGGGTCCACACCAGCCCACCCAGAGCAGATGGGGGGGCTGTCACTGAAGGTCGGGAGCCCAGAGGTGAGACTGCCTAGCAGAGGCCCGCACCCCGCCCACGGTGTCTCCCCTCGCCCTGCACAGCAGGAATGATTCCTCTTGCAGCACACAATCTGTCACAATATCCACCACACACTCCCAGCCAGGCGACTGCCCATACATCCTGGATTAATTCCAGAAGTCACTCCATCCACTTAGGGCCTGCCCGAGTGTGCCTCCTCCTTTATTAGGGAAATCTTTCACGGTTTGGAGGAACAGAGGTTTCCATTCGGGGCAGGGATTTTAAAGCCTCCCCAGCAGCTCAAGCATGAGACACTTGTGACTAGGAAGATCCCCAGGCCCCAGAGTCAGCCGGATGTGGTGGGGACCACTGGACTCCAAGACAGGGGTGGCCAGAGCAAAGGTCTCTTCAGCCAGTGCCCAGGGCCTCAGCCCAGTGCTGTGTGGCTCGGGTAACTCTTAAGCCTCTCTGAGCAAGGCAAAGCCAGGGAGATTGCACTGAGGTGTCGCTCTCCTGACCCCCAAGAAGTCTGAGGTCCTCCCCTCCAAACACCAGGCCCTGGGGAATAAAAAGGTAAAGCCTGGAGTTCAGCTCTGACCATGAGCCAGGACAGGTCCCAGCCTGGTCTCCAGCTCCCCAGATGAGCTGAGTGCTGCCCTCCGCCAGGCTGTGTGCAAACCCAGCAGGGCTGGCACACAGAGGGTACCCACAGCCTGGGGCCCCGACCACCGCAGCCCCCGCTATGTCTCCCTCTCCTTACTCTCCAACAGCCTTTGCTCGGCCTGACAGCTGCCCCCATCCCAGGCAGAACCCCCAGGTCTGACCCCACAGGCCTTTGAACCTCTTCCACACTTTCACAAGGCCTCCGCACTACTGAGCCAAGCCTGGAGTCTGGGAGCCCTGTCCCCAACCCTCCATGGAATTCCCACTGTTCCCCAAGGCCCAGCTCTTGTTTTCTGGCCCCATGCCCCATGTCACAGGACATCTGTCCCACCCTGGGCTCCTGGGCCCTCACCTCTCCAGGGCTGGGACCTCTCTGCCCCACCGGGTCCCTGGCCACTCGCTGCTCTGGCCCAGATTCACACTTTTCCCAAACAGGCATCCCAGCACCTCCCCCAACCAGATCCCCCAGAACCCTGAGGACCAGACCCCCAGGACCCCTCGCTGACCACCCCTCACCTCTTCCCTCTCCTGGGGCTCACAGCACCTCTCCTTGGTCCTTCCAACTTCATGATGTTACCAGAGGCAGGGACTAAGACACCTGCTCACTCTGATGGCCAGACATAGCCCATGGGAACAAGGAAGGACAGGCTCATTAAGAGGGAACAGAGGGCTCCCAAGGATGGAGGAGAACATCCCACTGAGGTAAGCAGCATCGTGCCCTTGCAGAAATGGGGAGACTAGGGCTGGGAGATGTCAATCACTAGCCCAAGGACCAGGGCTGGATGGGAACCAGCCTCCCCCTCAGTTCCCACTGGATGCCACCCAGCAGGTCCATGGATGCCATCCAGCATGGCCCTCAGACCCCTTGGGGTGGTCATCAGTGTCACTCCAGAGGAGACAAGGCAGAGAGACTGGGTTCCTTGCTCACACAGTGAGTGACAGGCCTGGGACTAGAATGAAAACTCTCAGCTCCCTGGCTGAGTCAGAGTAGCAGGTCAGGGCTCCCAGTCCGTAGACAGCCCTACCCCGTATCCAATCCATGCAAGCCCTGCTCCCACCCCCACCACAAGCCCTGGCCTCAGGGGTGCTGCATGGCTGGCTGACTTTTCTGAGGCTGGGCTCTTGCAGTCCCGCATGTTTGCAGACAGCCTGGGCAGAGAGGCTCCAGAAAGTAGGACAGAAGGGAGGAAGGGACCGCAGGTGTGGGCTGCAGACACTGCCACCCTCCACCCACCTGGGCAGAGGTGTTGCCATCTCCTTGAGTGACTTCGGGTGCTGCCAGGGCCGAGGATAAAGGCTTGGGCCGTCCCCTGAAGGAAGGGCACAGCCAATGTCTCCTCTGGTTCCTCCCCAGGGACACGGACAAAGAAGCCACTTTTGGCAAGAACTCCTTCATGCTGAGGGTCACCCTACATCAAGAAGACCCCAGATCTTCATCTGTGAATGGGGTGGTCAGGGCCACCTCCCAGCCACAGTGAAGACAGAGCCCCACAGGGCCTGGCACCTTCCAGCTGCCTGGTGCACACAGTATGGTATGAGACCCTGCCTTCCTAGGACATTCCCCAGCTCCTCAGTTCCGGGATACCCCTAGATGCCCAGCTCCAGGACACCCCCAGGTCCCCAGCACCAACTCGGGCAGATCTGAGTCTACCTGGAAGCCAGCTGGGCAGCACTGGATGGGGTGCCAGACAGAAGGGCCAGTGGCCAACCTCCATAGCAACAACACCACTCCTAGATGTCACCAGGACAGCTGGGTTAGGCACCAGGGAGCTGGGGGCTCAGGAGCCAAGAGAGTGTAGTGCCTCCTGCCAGGCTGGTTACTCCTGAGTAGTCAAGGCCATGATCATCGCGTCATACCACAGCATCACCCAGGCCTGAGAGGAAGGAGCCTGCCCCCCACTTCTGAGGATGCCCCCACAGGGCCGACCCAAGTCCACCAAGTTCAGCCAGGGTGCAGGAGCTGGCCCAGCCAAAGGGACTCCACACAGCATTAAGGGACAAAACCCGGAGCCAAGCAGGGACAAGAAAGAGCCAGGGCAGTGCAGGCAGGCAAGGCACAGGCTCCTGGCGGATGGCGTAGGCATGAGTGGGCGTTCAGGCT